ATATCAGTGCATACATATTTATATATCAAAGTATGCATGTACACAAAAGACACATTTTTTTTTATGATTACATTTGTTTTTGCATATCTTTTTATTTCAACTTGTGATGAATAATTTGTTTAATTATTAAAATATACAGACAGTTAATAAAAAAAATTAAAATATGTTCTATGGATTCAAATTCACTCAATTCATGGGATCAGTTTATCTGTAAACCTTGTGGAACATAAGGCTTCAACCAAACCAAATGATGCTGCAGCAGTTTCATTAGCACTTTTATGGTGTCATGGTGTTAGTCCCATATTCAAAATGGACAGCTTTGCAAAGTAAATGGCCCAATTATTCTATTATTTACCCATAGTTGGATGTGGAGAAATGGATTCATGCCTTTCCCAAGAACATTAGACAAGTATAAAGTGAATACTCTGTTCCAGTTGTAGTTTTAACTCTGTTCACTGATTTCATTCTCTATATCATTAACCATTAGACCACATGCATACACATAAGAGTTATAACAATCAACACTGCATGATAACTGTCAGTTTTATATCTAAAGTAATTATCAGATGGTCATCATGCAGTGTGGGTTTCTGTGTCCACACTATTTATATCTACAAACATTCTATTCCCAATATTGAGCAGTCTCACCCCCATAAAGCAGATGACTACTTTCAGCTTTGTTAGACCAGCAATGATAGAAGTTGATTAATACTCCTGTTTAGGTGCAACTTGATAGGGGATGATCATCTTTTTAAAACTGACTTCTGTTATGTATCTAACAACCTTGCATTTTTATCAGTTTTCAGACAGAGAACAATGGAAGTGAAGAAAACATTGTATTGTCTTAGCTGTTTTCATAATAAAGAATACTAGTTTTAATCTGTGAAAATTTCACGATTTTCCTCTTTTAATATTCTGATGAATCTTAGTTCTTAAGTTAAGGATTGAGTTGTATGACAATAAAATATCCATAGAAATTCCTCTATTGCATTGTTAAATATTTGAGCTTAACAATATTGCAATAACAATCATAAATATGAATGCTGGTCAATATTTTAAGAAGTGGGTACAAATGAAAATATTTGAAATTGACAACTTTTTCCATTTCCCTGAAACAGTTGTTAAAAAAATTTATCTTCTCATCTTTCATTTTCTCACTGAAACCAAGTAGTGTCTTTTCCCCTCTTTCCACACCATCAAAATGAAATAGTCCATTATTTATGAGGTATTGGCAGGGTATAACGGTCGTGCAAACTAACAAATTATAATAGCACAATTATAATAGGATTTCTGTCTATATCTTGGCATGAGTGAAACAGAAGCCACTTTGAGGTAAATAAATTCATTGAAACATTAAATTTTATTCATGTTGCCTTTTAGAAAAAATACAATACTATATATTAATTTATGCTTTTATATCATTGGGAGTTGAATAATTAGAAATTTTAATTGTAATTTATCACTTGATAACATTGATTAATTTTGCCTGCAGTTATGATGAAATAAATGAAAAACTTGCTATCATACAAATAGAAAAGATGCTAATTGTGGAAGACTTTTGACTTGAAGATAATATTATTTTGAATTTTTTATTAGATAAACCATTGTCAGCCATTAATTTTTGACTAGCATTTCTTTCATCTTAATTTTAGTTGATTTTGTTTTTTATCACAATTACACAAACTGTCAGTTTACAGTCATGAATCAAAAATAAAGGATAAGTTATTGGTGAGATTTAAACTCTCATCTTTTTTGTTTTGTTGAAACTTGTTTTCTGTCAACTGTAGGATTGTCATACCCCAAATTGCAGAGACGCTGTTACAGAAAAACAGGCTTACCAAGGCAAAATTTGCATCTCACCAAGAGTGTATCCTTTATTTTCAATCCACATAGTTTGCTAATTGCTATAGATTGATGGTCTCAGATGTTGCAAAGAACATGCAAGAAATAAGTAAAAAAACTAACAATATTTAATCTAATAAAGATCCAAGATAAAATTACTACTACTATTAGTAGTATAAATATATATGTAAAAACAATAACAAATATTGCACTAAGGGATTGGTGGTTGTGGTGGAGGTTTAAAAACTTAGATTTTATCTTCTGCCAGCTTGTAGAGCAGCTGTTAAGGAAAAACAAGTTTTCCAAGGCAAAAGGAATATTAGTTTAAGTCTCACCAAGAGGCTATCCTTTATTTTTAACCTGTAATTTACTAATGGTTATCGACTGACAGTCTGTGTAGTTGCAATGAAAAGCAACTAAAATGAAGACGAAAAAACTAATTTCAAAGTCAGAAAATTAAAAACAGTTAAAGGTAGAATAGTTGAAATTGTTCTGTAGATTCAGATTGACCTAAGTCAAAAAGTTCATTTTGTCATGTTTTTATATACAAGGTGGTACCCAAAACTTGACTATAAAAAAGGTTACTTACCCTAACATTTAGCTTTCATTTGAAATGCTTTTTGCTTGGTGTTTATACACTGGCACTCATCAAAATCCTTATTATATTTGGTTAGCATATACAGCGTGCTACCCTAATTATGAAGTAACTCATATTTTCACACTAAAATCCTTAGGAAAGACCTGAATAAATCTCTTCCAATATGTAAGTTCAGGGATTACTCCTCATAAAATCTGTTGTCAATTACTTGATCATCATTACCCTGAGTTATGCCATGAATATCTCAGTATAATGTTCCAAAGATCTTTAAGTCACATGATTATTTTATATATATATATATATATAAAGTAGTTCATCATCAGTAACAAGGTCATATTGCAAACTAAACCAGCCTTAAGCTAATTGGACCCCTTGCTCACAATTGGGCCAAGAACCAGGGTAATCTACTCTTGTCCGATACACACAAGAACACATTGCAGATTAAACAGAACAGCAATAATTATAATTTTTTTTTTCTATATTTTTAAAAAGTAGTAATGTTTACACCACAAAATTGATATTAACAAATCAGCCAGTAAAAATTTCAAAACAACCATATGGTAAATATATCATGAGGAATTCAGCTATCTTTGCTAAAAAGAATAATTTGTTTGGGTGTATATCAGATTTTATCATGCAAAGTGCAATATAAATTTTTATTTATGACTAAATCCAAAAGATATAGACCATAAAAACAAGTATTTGATTAACACAATATAACTAAATAAACTAGTTTATTATTTTACATGTTGACATTCTGTAACCTTCATCAGTTTTTTATCTATTGCTTTTGTTAATTTTTCTGCTATTTCTTCTTAAACATTACTCACAGCAATTTTTATTGCTTCCAATGGATCTTTGCTTTAATATTGTTTTCCATTCTCATCTACATCTTTTAATGCTGGGTCATAATTTTCTATTGAAATAATATCTGAAGAGGCTACGACCCATTAATTTAGTGTCTTTGAAACCATTTTTGACAAGGTGAGCACTAGTCAACTTTGAAGAATACGTAAGAGCATTGTCTTGCATGTATATATGCGTAAGCCTAAAGCACGATTCAAAAAATATCCACTCCAAGACTTAGAATAATTCTTTGCATTTATCTTGGCATCAAATTTAAATGGATCTATAATTTTACTGTCAAAAAATCTTCTACGTCATGTTGGTTGACTATCTCCATGAAGTACCCAACCTCTAGTGCAGCTACTAGGTTCATCCAATGTTGCTCTACATTCATCATTAAAAATTATTATTGAGAAATCAATTTTCATGTACATTTTTGTTCAACTTGGTTCTCTGTGATGTTTACTTAAAGATGGTATCATGGTTGCTTTTTGTGCTCTTAATATTCTGCATTTTTTGCTCTCTGCTTAGATTTGTAATATGAGCTGCTTCAAATATTTCTTGCTGGTCAGTTTTCTCTTTGATTGTTCTTTGATTTCTATTAAACTATTTTGCAATTTCTAAAATTGTGCTTATATCACTCAATAAATTTAAAATATCTTGTTTCTCTTTTGGGTCTATATCATTCTTACAATCCATGGCAATCCATTTATATATCTGAAATTTAAAAATAAATAACAATATATTATTATATATTTATGCATGTATTTATTTACAGTACAATGATCAATACTCTCATTGTATAATAAAATCTTACAGCACTAAATAAGTTATTGTAAGTATTTTTAATAAAATGAGATGTAAGGTGAAAATTACACACAGTGGATACTGTTCGTATTTTGAATCATTCTTTTACTGCACTTGAATTATGTTAATTATAAAACACTAAAAATGTATTTCTGAAAATATACATGTAACAATTTCTATGACTGGCTGTAAAACTGGGCATCTGCAAAAAATCTTTCCACTTGGGTCACACAATTCCTAAGGCTGACCTCGTTTGCAAACTTACTATTGTAGTGAAATTGATTTTCACTAACTACCTAATAACCATAGATTTATGCCAATATATAAGATATATACACTATGTGTCTGATTTTCTAGTAGACAATTTTAGAATAAACCTAAATGGGAAATACTGAGAGTGTGTTATGCCAAATTCCTGTCATCCAATTGATATCTGTAATTCAATTACAGAAGTCTTTTATCAGTCTTTTTTCTATATGCAAGATAATCTAGATTAAACAGTTTTTTTTTTTAAATTATCTAAGTTCATTGAAAAAATACTAAGATTTGATTCTTATTTTTTTTCTTTTATTGGTCTACTGAGAATATGAATACTGAATGATGGACATTATATCCTTATGGATTTATGACAGTCAAGCAATAAGTCCATAGCCAGACATGGAGTTATTAACTGAATTTTCATCTGATATTTTCAATATATAATGCTTGATTTTATATGATCAATATTTATTACTAAATTTGGTGCATTGACAAAGAAAGATTGTTTAAAAATAAATAATTTTCTTTAAAAGAATTGCTTTTTCATCATGAGGCTATTGACTTATTGATTTACCTATGTACTTTTCACTTTTCATTAATGGATGCGTCTTATTCAGTTTGTTTATACTTTATATTTGTTTTATTTCAGATTTTTCTCCTTCACCACTAACAAAAAGAGGACCCCAACTCCAAGCCCGCGGTTGAAGCGTAGAGGCAGTACCTCGAGCGATCACTCAGAATTAGGCATTGGGACCCCAGGGACCCCCTGTCATTCCTACAGTACAGGAAATCTTAAAGAACTGGGAGAGAATACTGCAGCATACAAGTAATTAGAACTGTTCATACCCCAGAATTGTGGACTCTTTATCTTGTTTTAATTTTTTGTTTACATTTTTTTAATTCTATGATTTGGCTTGCATCAGTACAGTGTCTGTTTGTTGGTTGTGTTTTGTTTTTTTTTTATTTTGTTTTCCTTATATTTTTTAATTCATTCTCTGTGTCCCTTTGTTTGATGAGACCTGCTACCAAAGACTGCTGTTTTTTTTGGGTTTTTTTAATTTAAAACAATTTTTAAAATCATTTTATAAAGTGGGTAAATCAAATTACTTCTTTGTCTCTGTTGTCATTATTTTATCTTAATTTTTTTGCATGAAGATTTTTTGATGTTTTACCACAGATTTATCTCTTTTTTTCTTAAGAATAAAAAGTATTAAGTTAATTTTTTTACAAAAATACTGAGGACAAAAGCTTGCATTTTGCATGCTTTGAAGAAAAAAAATAGTAACAAAACTCAAAATTAAACAAAAAAAAATAATTTTCTTTATTTCAAATTATCAGAATATAGTTACTGTATAAAAAAAAATGATGTAAGTTGTATGGACAAGAGAAAGCATAAACTATAATAGTTTTTTTCTTGCCTTTTAATAACTATATGGATCATGTGGTATCAAGCATGCTTTTGGGCTTACTAATATATAGTAAATAAGACAGCCTTTTTCAAATTTGTTAGAAATTTGAAGAACAGAAAGGCATAAGTTCTTGCTCGCATTGCTGAAATAGATTTTAAATTGTTTATTTGTGTTAGTGGCCACTGAATAAAACATTTTAGTAAATAGTCATATTGATAATAGATAAATAGGCCTGTACTAAAGAAAAGCTTATGTGATGTGATCAGTAATTATTGAAATATTGATAATAATAAAAAAATAGAAAATCACTGGTTTGCTGGTGTTGACATTGCTTAACAGTTTGTGATAAGTAAATTCGGAAGTTAATTCTTAGAATTATTTGTATTTAACTATCCAAGAATTGATCATTTTCAGCCATTAACTTCAACCTGAATGATCTATCTGTATAAATACATATTATTTAGTGTATTTAAAACAGAAAAGATCATTCAGTACAAAGAACATTCCAAGTTAAATGTTTAGCATCTTCATATTTCCAGTAGAGTAACCATTATCAGTTATTTATACATACATACATATATATATATATATATATATATATATATATATATATATATATATATATATATTCACAATACATTCCATTTATTTACTTTCTTACATATTCTTTTTTTATTTACTGATTAAAAAATAGTTTTGCTGGGCAGCATTATTACTTCAATAATATGACCTTCAATATAAAAAAATGTAAATAAAATATATAAGCTTACTTATAAAATCTTGTAGCTTATAAGATGTTAGTGCTTGCTGCATATGCATATTAACCTTTACTACTCTGGATTATTAATATTACATCCCTTTCCACTGTATTCTTTTTCAAGGCCTCTCAATTGCAGTATCCTTATTGTTAATTTCACTCAAAGTTGTTTCTGTTGCTATAGAAGGATATGACAACACAACTGTGAAATTCAAATGCACTATTGTTCAGGGATCAGTCACCTTCAGTGGCAAGATAAACTTCTTGTACAGCAAATGAAGTCACAGAGTGATAAAGGTTAAATTAACTCTTTCTATTTTTATCTTTTATAGATTTGTGTGTGTGTGTGTGTGCGCCTATTTAGATATGCTATGTTTACACTTGAAAACAATTAAATTACTACATAAGAATTGGAGTAAAGTTTTGTAGTATAGATTACAACTGGGATATATATATATCCAAGAAATTGTTGTAATATATCAGATGTTTGGGGAGAATTTACATGTTCATATTTAATTTATAGCATATTTGAAGATAAATCTTAATTTCACGTGCATACATATTTTAAGGAAAAACTGTGACAAAGTGGTAAAAGTTTTTGCGTAATGCATTTTGTCCTTTAGGACCTAATCGAACTTTGCCATAGTTTTTTGCCTAAAATAGTTCTTGGCATAAAAATTTATATATTGTTTTCCCATACATACATATGCACAAACCTCCATTATTTGTCATTATTATTTACAAGTTTATTTTAGGGGCTAACGGTACAGTTTAAGCCTTCTATTTATAAGACCAGTATATTATATGCAATATATTGTAGTGTAATATTTGGAAACTTTTAAAAATATATTTTACACATAATATTTTAGAAACATTTAAAAATATTTCTAGCATGTGTGTATATATATATATATATATATATATATATATATATATATATATATATATATATTTTGGAAAATATGGTGCACACCCTATGTCTGAAACAAACCAATTATCCAGGTGATGCCTGAGAGCCCACCCCACATGTGAAAGTGATGTCAACTAATTTTAATGTGCAAATTCCTACTTGCAGCCTCTCTTTGACTTAAACCCTCACTCAAAACACTTTGACAATGGGCCTAGTCTGAGATAGTTGTGCATTTCCTGCTTGAGCCAGTGGTTAGTGTTCAAGTCCACTTTATAAAATGCCAGGATTTTACATGCTGATATTCAGAGTGGGCTAGTGTTCTCTATTTGATCTTGTGTCTGACTAAAATTATGTATGTATGTGTTTGTGTGTGTGTGTGTGTGTATATATATATATATATATATATATATATATATATATATATATATATCTGCTAAGAACTACTTTGTTTTAGTTTTTCAATCTCCTCTAGAATTGTTTGCAAATAATGAATCATTTTATCCTGGCACCTTTCTTCTGCTGATGTTAGATTTAAATATATAATAATAAAACTTGCATTTATAAAATGCTGTTAAGTTATCATAAGAGTATTGTTTTTCATGTAATTTCTGTATTGCTAAAATTTGATTCTGATACTTTTCATGAGCAGTGGCCAAATATTCTCCTTAAATATAGTATTAGACATTTTTTGTGTGGAGCTCTTTTAATAGTTCTTCCAAAAATAATGTACAGTTTGATGTGAATTAAACAATCCTGCAGAAGATTTTCACTTTTTTTCTTCTTGTATCTCTCCACAACTGTTAATGGTTGGATTTTGTATAAAACAAGTTTATAGATTAAATAATGTATAGGAGTTGATTCTCTTGCCTTTCACAAGTCTTGAAATAACCCATGTGATTTTTAAGATGAAAACTCTTCTGCCTAGTTTTCCTGATAATATCAATAATTTATTGTAGTTTAGTGACTTATTCTCATAAGGTTTTTTGTTTCTGGTTTCAATAGAAGCTTTAGATATATTATAATTTAGTTTACAATTTGAAGAATCTCTTAAAATAGATGCTTCATTTTTTATATAAAAACTGGAAAAATAGAGAAAAAATGTCAAAGAAGAATAGCGGAATTCAAGAGAATTTTGCAACTATAGTTTAAGCTTAATATCTTTTTGCTTTCTCATATTTCAGTTTCTGATTTATAGTCTATAAAACAGGCAACTAATGTTAAGTTACTAGTAATGTTTTAAAAGAAAAAATCTAGCTAATTTATTTTTAAATGCATCTAGATACTTGAAAAAGTAACAGTGACTTTGATAATTTTATATAACAGCTTTCAGTCCTCTTTAATTAAAAAAAAATAAATATGGCTTGAATTTTTTCCTTTAAATTTTACAAAAGTCTAGAAGAAAGATAAAAACATTTTGTGTTTTTTGTTGTTTCATCTTTTAAAATTTTTATTTTATATTTATTTAGAAGCTACCTTTTTATTTTTATTTTTGTCTCATTAGTCTTATTAGAATTTTTAATGTATTAGTGTCCGCAAAAAATTAAAAGAATAGAAAAGAATTTTGTAAACTCATGTACAGATATTTTCTCTTTGTCACATCTTTTTTTTATTTTATGTACAATGACACTATTAATTGCTAAGCTCTCACTAAATGATCTCTTTTGAGATGCAAAATTCCATATTCTTTACCAATTCTGGATATCTTAACCATTTTCAATAGTTGTATTCAATAAATTTTCATTTTGAAACTGACCAATTGATTTTCTCTCACTCTTTTAATTTTGGTACGTTTTTGTTTTTGTTTTTTTTTTTTAATTACTCAAGATATCAACTTAGTTTCTTTGAAAAGTATGGAAGCACAAATTATGCAGAATAATTTTCAATCACTCCAGGGACATAAATAAGTCAGATGAAGGTTACAATTTAACGTTACTTTCATATTTTTTTTATTATAGGAATCTGTTATTTGAAATTGGTTAAATTTTCACTGCTTGATTTCTGTACCATTTTGTAACAAAAATCAGTTGAAATTCTTTTTGAGCACTTTCATTTTTTTTTATCCTCCACTCATGAAAGAGTGCTTATGGATTTACATAAATTTTCTAAATGCTATTAAATTGCAGTCAGAGAGTGAGTATTGAAAATGTCAAGTATTTGTTGGAAGTTATTGAGTTTTCACTAGCATTTCTTTCATCTTAATTTCAGTTACTTTTTATTGCAACTTCTCAGATTATAATTCTGCTGCAAGTGGTATTGTAATTTCAAATTTTACAAGAGGTTTATTCTTTATATCTAATTCATGATGTTGGCTGCAAATGAGAAATTGCCATAATAAGTGACTAAAATTACTATAAAAATACTAATTGAAAAATGAAAAATTATTAATAATAACTGACAATGATTCATCTCATAATAAATTCAAAATATCTGTTGGAGGTTTTAAAAAATAAAAATGAAATAAGTACAGTTTAAAAGCTGTAAAATCCATCTTAAATTATTTCTTTAAAATAGTTGTTGATGTAAGAACATACAGTAACTTTTATGCTAATGAATGTTTTACAATTTTCTATTGTAAGATAAAAGGCCTAGTTAGAGAACCATTTAAGTTTATTTTAATGATACACTATTTTTATATGCATAAAATATCTAAACAGACTCAGCCACAAAATAGATAACAGAAGAACCTGAACATTTCTAATTGTCCTTCATGTGCATAACAGAATATATAGCTATATATATATATATATATATATA